ATCAAATGCTGTTACTTTAAAAACAAGAGCAGCTATAGATGGATTAAATAACAGCATCAGTTCCTAAGATGCTGCCATGTAGTTTTCAAACCTTAGTTCACTTACTTTGAAACAGCTTTAGTGTGTCACAAGATGGCAGTAATCTATAGTATATGCAAAGGCACAAGTTGAAGCAGCAACGTTTCAATGTGCTGTTCATTTCTCTTCTGGGCACAGTTCTGTCAAAAGCACAATGTACTTCAAACATTTACTGTGCAAAACCATCCACACTAGGTAGCCTGGATTTGTGCACATGGGGTGGGTAAGCAAACACAATACCCTCAGGTCCACAGATAGTATTTGCATGGATAGTATAGGAATTGCTTAAGAATGAAATAATGAAAATAAAAATGCACAAAACTGTACATGCTTGCATTTCACATTAAACAAGTGAACAGATACCAGAGTTACCTCACTGCATGAGATTACTGAGCTGACACCAAGAACCCCCTTATTATCCTTAAAATGCTCAATAATCATGCCAAGAACTTCTTTCAGAACCAAGTACAGAACTTTATGAACTCCAAGATAGCCACTGGAGTTCTCAGTTATTTGTGATAACTGCTCAGATGATAGGACCAATATGGAGAGGCCTCCTACTTTGCAGCCCTGTGTGGAAGCAGGGAAAGAGTACCCTTCACTAAAACCCAGAGAGGCTTGCTCCGAACCAGGCCTCAACCAAGGAAAATTGCAGCTATATATATTGCAGATTGCGCTTGAGAAAATTCATGGGAAGTTATTTATGTAACTATACAGCTACTATCCAGATCTTGTGGAATTTGCCAGTTAAAAGCAAAATACGAGCAACTCTTAAATGACTTAAAGGCTCTTCTCTAGAGCAGTGTGTTTACAGAATCAGAGGTTTTTGCTCCCCTGTCTGACATCTCTCAAGGACTACTCATTCCAGTTCCTTGTACACAGACTGTAGGACAGTTACTGGAAGAGGCAGTATACAACTGAACAACTCCAGTGTGAGTCATGTAACCATGAAAGCTGTAGGTTTCTCTGCCAAAAGATCCCTTTAGTCTTGTGAAAAACCCTGTGCATCAATAAAAGGGTTGACTCACTTTTTCCCATTCATAAGCATCTAAAGTCACAGGTGAGAGTGGAAAAGGTGAAAAACATTGAATACTTTCAGGTCCGCACTTTAAAAAGCAGAAGCTCTCACTGCAGTGGAGATGATAAATTCACCACCTTCTTTTTGAGCTTTGCACAACTTTGTTTTGTTTGACAGCTGCCAGGTGAGAAGCTAAGTAACAAAATAACCTACCGCTAGCGTTGCTTGATCAATATCCATGACTGGTAAGTATTTTGACAAGAGGCACTTACCACAATATTGAGAAGGAAAGATTTTTCAGTCACCCACAAGTGCACGCTTGTGTACTTCTGAACTACCAACCAAAGTAATGATAAAACATTATGAAAATATTAGTGTACATTTTTGCACCCGAAAAGTGGTTTTTTAAAAGATGGCAAACCACTGATGCTGCTTCTCCATTGTGCTGCCTGGGCACTTCTGCCACTTCAGGGGCAGGTCACTTGCAGAGATAGCCAAATGCTCACAAAAAGGAAAAGAGCTGTGGTGACAGTGAGCAAAACAGTTGTGAGCTAAGCAGCGTGATAGGCAATGACTGTTACTCCAAAGTGCTAGCTGAGCAGCTGTCACTGGGGATGGCCTGAGCAAGCTCAGCAAGAGTAGCATAGAGTTTTCACCATGCAGCTCACTTCTAACAACAGGTGTGGGTTGCCTGCATTCAGATGATACAGCAATCCATTATGGATTCAACACTGCTTAAAAAGAAACCATTGGTTGTCAGGATGGCTCATTTCCCAAAACCAAGCCACCCTGCACAAAATGGGCCCTGTTCACATGGTATGATGACATACCGGGGATAGTTACCCACATTAACTTGCCATTAAATTTAATCCACTGTACCAAAATTAGTGTTGCCTAAGGATGAGCAGAATCCAAGGATGGGGCCATTCAGAGGCAAAGAGTTGCACGTGCAAGAAATGAATGCAACCATTAATGCAACCAGCAATGAGTAACAGCCCAATTTATACATGTTTAACTCAGCTGTAAGTCCCATTCAGTTCAGTGGGACTATCTAGTGTACATGAGATTGCAATCTCAGTATTTAAAAGTCACATATGAATCCAAGCAAGCCTTTCAATTAGCAAATATGGCTGCAATTGTGTCAACCATCTATGAAACACCACCTGTACACCTGTGGTATATGGTCACAGGGAGTCATGGCAACTGCTGTATTTTAACTCGGTTTCTTATTTCCAGCGCTTCATCATTTCTGCCACCATATAGTTAAGCATCAATTCAACCATACTAGGATTTACAGGTGTCTTTTTTAAAAAAGCTATTTTAGTTCTGCATGTTATACTTACATACAGAAGCAGAACAGAAGATTTAGTAAGTGTCATTTTTATTATGACTCTGAAGATGCATCTCATTTATTCTTAAGTGAAGAGAATATTTAACAGTGTGCTTACACCCTGTAAGAACTGTCAGTAAAAAAAGGCCAGGGGAGTTACAGCTGCAAAAACTGGTTCATTGGCTATGCAGAGTATGTTACTCTTACACTTTATGAAAGTTTTAAATATTGACAATTTTTCTTAGACACCTCAGTCAATCTAATACCTTTCAACTTTTACATGGGAAAAAGTCTCTATAGGTAAAATGCAACATCAATTTTCACTATCATTTCAAGAACTAAAGATGCCAAGCAGCAATTTCACAGACAAAAGATATGACTCCATTCATATTGCCACAAAAACCTCTTAACCATTCGGTATCTTAATTCTGCAGGGGTAGCCATATTAGTTGCAACAAACAGGTATAAGAAAACCAAGCACAAAACAGAACAGAAAAGTCTTGTTCCACCTCAAAGACTGTTAAATTCATTTTGGTATAAGCTTTTAGGGGCCAGCATACACTTCAGATGCACAAACTTGGTAGGTGTGTGTACCTTAAGCATAAGGAAAACATGTACTTGTTTTGATAGATCAAGGTCGAAAGACCAAGCAATGCAGGAAAGAGCAGTAAGTGTTTTACTATTTGTATTACTATGCAAGGCATACATTAACAAAATTTGGTCAACACTGATGTCACCATTTGTGATGTAAGTCAATCATCCTTGTAGTATGAGACCATGTGACAAATTTAATTATAAACCAGGTAACTGCTGCATCTTCATCCTGAGATATTCAACCCATTCACTGTCAAATAATGTAGACACAATCTCTCTCTCTCTCTCTCTCTCTCTCTCTCTCTCTCTCTCTCTCACACACACACACACACACACACACACACACACACACACACCTACATGCATAGAACACAATTGTAGGAATGTGGTAGTGACCAGCGATTTGGGTCATGGGACATTTAATTTAGGATAGACAACTTGCTGCTGCATTTCCACAAAATTGATTTCCCCAGTAAAGACACCTTGAAATTGACTGCTAGAATTCCAAAGAATTTCTGAACCATCAGCTGGATTTTCCTGGAAAAGTTAAATGTATTGAGTGGTTCCCAATGGAGCACTGCTAGACATTTCATGGAAAGAGTGGTGCTCTTCCTATGAAACATAAAAGCAAAATTCTTATTCACTTTCCACACGAAGACACACATTGATTTTGTTCAATAACCTCAACATTTGCCTTGAGTTCCATCTTGAGAAGATCCAATATTGGCAGCCACTTTAGTTGTTACCAACGTTGCTAGTTCATCACATTGCATGTATACAGCCCTCCAAATGAAGAGGTAGGGAAAGCTAAGCAATAACCATCATCAAAGAACTGGCAGTAAAATGTCTTGGGCTGAAAAATTGACTGCCTTTTTGGAGTCTGAAAGATGTTGAACATGGTTGAGTAGAACCAGACTCCTTGTCCAGTGCTCAAAATTGTTAGTACCCTAGCAACTGTGTCTTCTCACAACCCTCTAGTCTGACAATTTAAACAGAATTTTAAGGACTCAGCCTGCTGGGTGATACAAGGTCTTTGGTTTTTCACTGTGTTCAAAGAAAGTTTTATCCAGAGCATTATGGAATGTGAAAATGGCTGTGTGTGTTTTGCTATGATTTGAGAGTAATTGTTCTATGAGAGGAAAAATTCATGCAACTTTCTGAGGGAGACTTGCATGGGCTTATACAGCAGAATAAGTCAGTCACCCATGCCTCTTGTAGCTCAAGCAGTTACAATGCCTGCATGATTTTTTTGCCTGCTCCATTATCTGAGTTCTGCCAATAACGGAAGACATTTCTTTTTATTCTGTTACCTAATTGTATTTATTGACTGTTTAAGCTCTTAGAGCTTCTCTCTTTGCTGCTGTTTTTAGTTTAATAATTAGGCTTCAATGAATGTTTATTTTTATTCTCTCTCTCTCTCTCTCTCTCTCTCTCTCTCTCGGGGGGGGGGGGGTTAACATATGGCAGGGTAAGGCCAGCTACAAATAGCGTTTTAACCACTGTTCACCCACTGGTTTCAGTGTTAACATTTTTAATGTCTGAGCAGCATGGGTAGACTGGCCTGTTTGGCCTACTACTCACTGAATACAGTATAACAGAATAGACCAATCTCATAATACAAACTAATGTATTTTATGATACTTTAAAATATTTTAATTTCTCCATCATGTGTCTACCTCATTGGAATAACTGTTCTAATTGCAGCATCTGGCAAGTAAGGCAGCGATTCAATGGCACCATAGCTTGTAGGCCACATTGTAGCACAAAATCTAGAAGGAAATTAGCTATAAAGACTAAATATTCAGCTTCACTAGAATTATAGTTTTTCCATCTTTCAAAACAAGTTATAATGAAAAGTGTGCAGTGAGACATCTGTGCAACCAAGTGTGCCCCATACACACTATGTTGCACAGATGCATTGGCAGTGATATTTCTATAAAGTTTAATGTATCTGAATGACTTACACAAACCATGATCAGCTCAGAATCCATAGCACCACAATTTTATTAAGAAAGTTTATAAAAAGGCTTTGGAACCCTGTAAATTTAGAATTATCTTCTTCAGTATTTATATAACACCAATTATTATTATTAATAAACAGAATTCAAACCAAAACATTTGGTTCAAAATTAACAAAACCTATCCTGCAGCAAAATCCTATGGCTCCTAGACAGAGCAAAATTTTTTGAAGACCCAGCTTCAAGGTCAGAAAAGTACTCTGACCTTCTCACGTCATCTGAGATCAGAGTGCCCTCTTCACCTCCCTTCAAGGGTTATGCTGGTTGCAAGTGTGATCCTGGAGACAGGGCTGAGTGGGTACTCCAAGAGGCAGAAAGATGAGGAGGCAGGCACCACCATGATAAAAGGTGTGGCACTTAAAAGTGCTTTTCAGGGCAGGAGGAAGAGGCAACAGCTCTTTATAGGATGACCATATTCCTCTGAGTCTGGGTGATTATAGACATCCAGAATGGACTGCACCCCTAGTCTTTTTATACAATAATATAGTTTATGCAGTAACAAGCACTACCATCATTTCCGAAGTAAAAAAGAGAATCATGTTATTGGGGAAACTATAAACTGTACTACCATGTCTTGTAACCAAGACTGTGTTGTAGACAAATCAATTTTTACTTAACAATGAAATCACTAAAATGGTAAGATTTCTGAACATTGATTACAATGGTGTAACATCTTAAAGTCAAGTGTAAATCCATTCACTGGTAAAGTGCAAATGACAGGTATGCCACATTCTTTTTAAAAGGCAGAGCCAATGTTGGAAATGCTACAATGGTTATATAACTAACCAGAGGCGTTGGCAGTCAATTGTAAGGTCTAGCCAAATTTACTCTATCTTCTCTTAACTACCAGCCAAACATGTACTCCAAAGCTTTGGAAACAATGCTTTCATCTTTTCTTGGAGTCTGTCTGTCAGAAACCACCTAGAAAAGAGAGAAGGCACATTATAAACAGCAGATTTAGGACATCTAAAGGATATTAAAATGACTTTTTCCTTACTATGTTCTTTAAGTACCTGGTAGTCACTAGTTGAAGCTTTATATGCTGTAGCAAGGGGTCTCATAGTGGAGATTCTCTGAGTACTTGATGGCTGCACTGGTGTCCCTAGTGGTTTCATCGGTGGTGTGAAGACTGAAGACTGGATTGATCCAGAACTTCTGTCCATGTTTTCCATCACGCTCTACATATAGATCAAAGATTCAAATTAAAAAATAGTATTAATGTTATCTGAGCCCAATCAACTTTTTAAAAGCCTGACTATATTTTAATCACCAGATACAGGGTGAAAGAATATTTCTTCTTAGTGAAAGAACAAATAGATTAGAACCCTTGTCCCAACGGTGCTTACTTCTTGGTAGACATAGAATTGTACTGTAAAGCTTAGATTTCTTTGTAAAGCTGCGGACTTTCTTGAAACAATAATGTATTTCATTACCATGTCCTGCACTGTTAGTAACTCATTTTCTCATCAAACCTCAAACTAAAAAATCTAGCCAAAGTCAAACTATGCAACAGATACAAACTTACTGGACAAAAATGTAGATCTGAGCAAGACAAAAGTGAAGAACTCAAAGCGCTACAGACATTCATGCTCCCTGGAAACATTATTATGTGGGATGTTTTCTGATGGGAATTTCTAAAGCATCACTTTCTGGTTCTATCACTTTTATTAATCTGAAGCAACAGAGGTTAGTAACACTTAACATTGCTAGCACACAGCATTTCACCAACAGGGGTCACGGTAGTTTGTATGTTCTGTCCCTGCGTTTCCTTCATTCATAGAACTGCACCCTCTGCCTAGTAAGCGCTTGGGACGGAGTAACACTAAAAACATTAAAACTTCCCATGAAACCCTGACCTGCCACCATTTTTCTTTTTTTGCAAGAAGCATTACAGCAAACCATGAAGAGCCTAACAGTCTTTACTACCCATCTAAAGCAGAGAAGAATTATGAGCCTATCTCACAGGATGGAACCTCTAAACTGGGATGCTCATACTGAGAATGCCATTTCAAATACCCAACCAAGCTAGTGTTCACAAAATTTGAACTAGAAACACAATATTCTACATATTCACAACACCATAGAACATCAACGTACTTTATCTATGCAAGGTTTCACTCCAATCATAATAGATTCACCAAAAATTCTTCCATCTTTGCTCAAGGCTTTCCGGGCCTGCAGTTTCGACTGATAGCGAATATGCATCCAGTTTCCCGTGTTAGACATCTGTACAGGTTTAACAAAGAGTGACACTGAAAAGCTAAGCTGAACACAATGGCTGCCTTTGTTCTTAGAAAAATGCACAGATTTAAACTCACCACATGTTTCAAAATGTTTCCATACTGTGCAAACTGTAGGAGGATATATGAAGCAGATGCTTGAGGAAACCTGTAATACAAAGAGATAAAATTCACAACACTTAATGAGAAATAAAATTTGAATACTTAAATTCAGCTTGATTTAACTCTTCTAGTTTTATGCCATTGGTTAGACTCACAGAAAATTGTCTCAGCATATCAAGTGTGTGTCAACCAATAATCTTCAAACACTGCCCATTTTGTTACCCATCTGTAATCCCTACATTTTATGTACTCCCCTAGACTAGATGACTGCATGAAAAAGAGGGGTGCAGGCTGACTTTTTCAAAATACCATTTAGCCCAGGCACTAGAATATTAAAAGACAAATATTTGTTTAACATCAACATTACCATAAATGCCATATAGCATTTTAGCACACAAATCAAGAACAGAGATGCAATGAAACTTACAGATTATTATGTTTAGAATGATTTCATTACTAAATTTTCTTATGTAAACCCCTATGATAATTTTAAGTATAATATACAAAAATTCTAAAAACAAAGCCAGCACCGACACCCAGGATTAACCATGGAATGCACAGGTGAGGAAGAATTTCTACACAGGCCATCCAAATTGAACAGCAACACACACATGTATAGCAGAAATTGGCAAGTATCCTTGGCCTGGCCTGTGAGTGGAAAAGCACTCATTCTCTTTCTTGTTCTTTCCTTCCTGTGGCCTTTTTTTTGCTGCCACCATGTGGAAGTCTTTATTTCTTCAGATGCCTCCATCAAAGCAGCCTTGAGGTTATCAATTTCTGGATCCAGCTTTAGATAGCAAGCAGACTGGCTGTCAGATGTGATGTGGGTATGCTCACCCCATTCCCCACCAAAAGGAACCACCATGTTTCAAATAACAGTATTTAACCCTTACTCCAAATGAATCAATAGAAACATTTTAAATTGGAAGATATATACACACTTCTTAAAAAACACAATGAGCAGATAAAAACAACCAAAATAGATTTGTCTAGCCAACATTCACCACGCCTCTCTTTTATCCAGGTCCTTTATGCAAACTATACCCTTTTTTCACTGGCCAAGCTCTCTCAATTCTAACAACTCTTTCCTCTGGGGCTCTGGTACTTCTTCTCTCTCCGATTCCTACTCCTTGGGCCTTTGGCTTGTATCCTCCATAAAATATATTCTTCTCTCCTACTCCAATGAATCTGGAGGATAGTTTCTTGTTTATTTGTAAACCAAGTTTATGATTTCTGAGTTAAAACTCTCCTCTCCTTTTCTTTTGACCTTCAGCTAAAATTTATGCTCTCCTGCTTTCACTTCTTAACACTTACATCTACATTCTAACTGAACCCAGACCTCTCAAGTATTAACCTTTTTTACTGAAACTCAACAGCATACACACAAAAATTTAATCCCATAACATCCTAACCCCAAACTAAACATAAACAGTTCTGTTTCCTCAAAACTCTTGTATTTTATTTCTGTTTTTAAATCTTCAAGTAACTCTCCCCTGCAGAGTTTATAACCATGCACTCAAGTGCTCATACAAGCATTTTAAGTCTCACACCTAAATGTGTGCACTTCTGGCAACATAAGCATCTCTTAGCATTATATAACTACAGATCATTTACCCAAATACTGTTACCCAAGTGTCATCAAGATGATCGTCTGATGTTAGGGCATCTCCTTGAGTATAGAATGGATCTAGTTGAGCTGGAGACATTGTGGACTTCCTGGGTTGTGCAAGACTTGCTGGACTGAACATACTTGTACCTGTTAAATTGTAGTAAGATGCTCATTAGATGTCATTGCAAGTTAAAACTGATCTAAGCACTCTAAAGTGAAACAAAGATTAAGTAACAAATCTTGAATCCATATTGATTAATTTCATAGGTATACCAGACAGAAAAACAGTAAAGTAGATCTGATGACTGCATGTTTTCAAGACCAGTAAATAATTTGAGCTCCTATCAAGATCACGTTCTATCTGAAACCTATCTTGACAGCCAATCTTCTTCAACTTCTCTTAAAACAGAGCCAAGCTCTGATTTAGACATTTATCTGTCAGACAGAACTCCCACATTATGATAATCAAGAAGTTTGGTAAATCAGAACTTTAGCTAGAATGTTGCTATTCCTTCCTGTCTTCTAAGAGCAGCAGAACTAACGCCTCTGTATTATAGCAAATATTCTGCCATAATTCTAAAAAATTTATGGCACTGATACAAATAGCTTACATACATATGCAGGCAAGAACTGGATGTATATTTAAAAGTTGTTAACATTTTTTGCCACAGCAGCTCCTTCCAAGCTGTATCTAATTTGCAGTTTAAAAGCAGAGTAGTTTTTGGCTTTGCAAGGGATCTCTAATCCGGTTGTGCAAACAGTCTGGACTACTGTGCGTATGATGGAAAACCCATACTCACAACAACATCAAGTCTTAAAAGCAGAAGAATGGCTTGTACGCCAAGTATTTAAAACTGGCTATTGATTCTAACTGATTTAAAAATTCAGTCTTTCAACTGAATATGTATCAGCTGTAAGAGATGAGCTATATACAAATTAAGTTGTTCATACACTTTTTATTATTTCACCCATAGGCGAGATTTGAATATATATATTTGGGAAAGACAAAGTCACTAGCACAGAACATCATTCCCCCTCATAAGAGGGGAATGTCATCATCGTAACAGCAAGTTTCCTTATTTCCTTCCAGTCAGTGCTCTACACAGATCAGCATATACTCACATTAAGATCATATAGATACAGACCTCATCTACATATAGAAGCAGCATATAGCTAACATGACATTACATTGTACAGAGAACAACACATCTGGTAAGATGCCTTACCTGCTCCAGGAGTTGCCGGGATACATCCACTAATGGGACTCTGCGTTACAGAAAAACTGGCCTGCATGACAGTATAAAAGTTAGCCTGAAATTCTGCTTTGAAAGTTAGGAAATTTCTTCAAAATATAACAAGTAACAGCTTGACAGTCAAGCCAGTCCATACATTAGCACACCTTGAACCTACCAAATTGTTCTGATGAGGTCACCCAGCCCTCACTATTTTATTTATTTATTTAGGATATTTTTATCCCATCCTATACAAGCAGTTGTCTCAGGATGGCTTACAATATACTACAAATAAACAATAAATACAACAGTCCACACCTATAACAAGATGATAATAATAACTAGATACAACTGAACTGTCTACTCAAACAGAAAATGTGCTACTTATGGAACACTTCTTTGGCACAAGCAAATACCATTGTGTGAGACCCTGTCTTTCGCTGCTCCAATACTGTGATTGATAGAAGCAAGGATCTACCAGCAGAGGGCAACAGTAAGCAGTCAGATATACCAGCCTAAAAAAACTGTGAAGTTATAAGAAGTTGCCCATCCAAAGTAAATGATAACTTCAAAACCCAAGTTATCAACTAATTTCAACTAAAAAGCAGTCAATACTTCAGTGTATTATTTACAAGAAAAATAACATATTGGATTGGAATAAAATACCTACAGCTGCTTAAACATGCATAAACATTTTCCCCAGCAACAAAAGGCTCTAGAGGAGAGGTCTCAAACTCGCGGCCTGCAGGCCAATTGCAGCCCGTGGGACGATATTTTGTGGGTCCACTTGATATCAAAGTTTAGTGATAGTGCGGACCGCGCGTTTTTCTCACACGCACCTGCGTGAGTCATTACCCTGGGCGCAATGTTCCCTCTAAGCTGTGCGCCAGGACGGGCAGGGCACGGGGAGGGGCCCTGCGGCCTTCAGATGTGGCTCAGCTGTGTAAGAGGAAGTGCTGTCAGGTCTCTGGCAGCAAGGAGTAGGAGGAAGGAAGAGAAGCCTATGTTCTGAAGAACCGTTCATGTTCTGAATTATTATTAGTAAAGATTGAGAAGATTGGATCAGTTGTACTTTTTTTGGAATACTTGAAATCCTTTTTTTGTGGAATACTTGATGCGGCCCAGCCTCACCCAGACTCTACTTCCAGCGGCCCCCAGGTAAGCTGAGTTTGAGACCCCTGCTCTAGAGCAAACCCATCTTACTCCTTTTGACTTGGCAAGCTGACTGCACTATCCAAGCACCTAATATGACCACATGTATAGTTCACTAAAAATTAGCAAAAGCACAAAGCATTTCAATTAATAAATTTAAGTCATAATGGGCAAACTGTTTTTCATCTTATATGATTGCTTAGTATTTTAGCTTTAATTTTCTAGTTGTTTTTGTTTCTTAAAATCTAAATAAGCATAGTAATGTTACAGGACTGTATATACTTCTTTAACTCTTGACCTAACTTACCATAATGTTCTTAAGTCACTCTTTCTACAATAGCCAAACCTTGATTTAGGGAGATCAGAATAAATATTTAAATATGGTTGGCATTTAAATCCTTTAGAGATGTTTTAAGTATTACACTGCAAATATTTCCTGGTGAATTAATATGCAAGAAGTTCATGTCTTAAAGGCCTTTGATTTCCAATTACTAATCATTAGAATGCTGCTTACAACAGAATGCATGAGTTCAGGTTTAAACAACATAATCAGGGCTTTGAATTTTTTTCTGGCCTTAGTAGCCAACCAAAATTATGTCCAACCTTAACTTTGTCCATTTCCAAAGGAGAAGAGTGGGGATCACATCTTTTTCACGTCACCTGCTACAAATGCCTTTGAGGCCCACATGACTTCAGCTGCAAGCCCCTACAGATTTCCTCAGAGCAAGCCTCAGAGACACTCTAAGTCACTCTTTTGTAACCTGGCACCATCCAGATATGCTGAATTGCAACTCCCATGATCTCTAGCCAGCAAGGCCCTAAGTTGGAAGTTATGGGAGCTGCAGTACAAAATACCTGAAAGGTACCAAGCAGGGGAAGGTAGCTCTAAATGCACTAAGATCTCTCACTGCCTTCCAGTTTCTTTTCCAAGGTTCAACAAGCTGCTGGTTCTTCTCTTGGCTCTGGAGGACAGAAACTCTCAGAATACAAAATGCTATCAGCAAGTGCATTTGTGGACCCCTTCTCATAGTTGTGGTTCCTACTATGGCAGACACTGTAACTTTGCTGAAATTACAGTAGAACTGAACATTGATAAAGTTGTGCTGAAACTGTATGTCTATTTGCTTATGTTTTGAAGTGTATGCAACATAACCACCAAGTGAGGTCAGAATGCAGCTGAGAGGACAGGATTAAGGTTGGGCATAGGACAGGAGCATCTGCCTTTATGGCTGCTATAGAAGGAGATTCAAGCTAACAGTTTGAAAATGTCTAGGAAAAGAAACAACCTTTGCTTGGACTGGAAGAAGAAACAAACTGAAGTCGTAGTTAGAAAGTCCATAAAGAACATGACTGATCAGAGGCTCTGGACAAGAGATCTGACAAAGGCCTTTTAAGGCTAGGAATAATAACTGTGAGTCTAACAAAGAGCAAGCCTTCCAGTTTGACAGCATTCTACTGGAAGTTCTGACTACTGGAGTCATTTGCCAAGGGTAGCAAGGAAAGCATGCTAAGAGTTTGTGGTGAAGCTTCAAGCAGGTAGCAGACTCCAGCACCAGAAGTTTTCAGGAAGAGGTCTGACCAGAAGAAACTTCAACAAAAGTCCTTGAAAGTAAATCATGTTAGAAACTAGAAGCAGCAAGAACGGCTGGAGAAAGACTGCTGTACAATATCTGTTCCCGGATGCAGATGATTGACTAGGGTGGTGTTCACAAAAAATTGGCATGAAAGACAAGCTATTGATAGCTCATTTAGGTACAGAAGGCTCCCATGTGTATTAAGGAATGGTGAGCTAACATATTTAAGTTCAATTAAGCAACTTAAACCTACATGAAGAGTGACAATTGATTCCCTTAGCTTCATTCTATTAATCCTGCACAACTGTCTCAACTGGGAGTGAAAATCCTATACCTATGCTATAGGACCAGGCTATTAAGTCAGTTTTAGCTATGAAAATATTTATTTTGGTGACAACAGTTAAGGAGTTAAATAACTGAGGTAACATTCACTAATAATGAAGAATATTATGGAACTACATTAAAAGTTTTGGACACAATTATAGAACCAAGCTAAAAACACATAATTTTAAACAAAACAAAAGAGGAAGCATGGATTGGAAACTCATAGTGTTCAGTCATACATGATCATAGGTATATTGCTGCAGAAACCAAAACAATCTATTGCTCTTTGTTACCATCTAGAATTAGTTGTCCTGTCCCATTTTCTCAAGCTCTTACTTTAAAAGAAGAAAATATGTTTAGTAACAGCTGCAACATTTATCTACCAATCTTAGCAAGTATGGACATGCTTTATCACATACAACTTTTAGTTTAATTTGCAATAAGTTTTAGGATCACTTACTGGTCTTCTTGAAGTCAGGGGTGTTGATCCAAGACCTGGGCTAGCTATGTCATCATATATACTCCTAACTGGTGGAGCTCCACCTTTATCTTTGTGTGTTGGAACTACTGGCTGTGGAGGAGATCCACCTAAGTGAAATGCAGCATAACATTAAAAACTGTTCATCCATCATTCTTTGCTGATAACCTTTCCAGTTGGAAAGCAGTCCACACAATACCAGTAATCAGCTGTTAGTTATCTTTTAGAGAATTGCCATCTTCTTTATGAGAAGTGTTACAACTGGATGCAGAGGTTTACGTGTTTGAGGTTGTTGAAGTAAAACATAACTTACATGCCTAAGCTTCTGCAACTCAGGGGAAGATGTGCAACTGTCTATATATCACTCATTTACTAAAAACAATGGGTAATCATCAATTGCATATAGACTTGAAGACAGCCAGTATGAAGAACAGAGGAAGAAAGTGATCCAACAAACGTTTAGCTAACGCAACAACTGGGTAACATTTGGATTGCAGTGCTTAACCCCTGAGATGTACTTGCTGGTAAGATGCATAAGATGGCCTTCCAAGTATTTCAGGAAAAGCACTTTATAGCGAGCTAGCTATTCCTCAACCTGAATCTTGCTAATTCATTGTCCTGTTGTGTTATTTGCTCCAAATGAGTGACAAACAAGAGACAGTATCCTATACCCGAAGGATCCATTCCAAAGGCAGAAGAAAGTCAGTGATTCCTAAAGCAAGAGGAAACACTTGTTTCCAGCCAGCAGAACTCACAGCCTAACTCCTGTTGCACCTGCAGTTGGACTCAGTGGTACAATGGACTGAACAGAAGCACAGCAGAATGCTTCCTTCAGGAACTGTGCTCTTATGCATTATGCAACTGCATTCGAAAAAAAGAAAAAATGTGATTGTATTCTTGATACCCATATTTTTGAACAAATGCAGTCTAACTATAATCTTTTAAGGTAACAATAGCTAGCTCTGTTTTTTATTTAACAAGCCTGTTGTATCTACAAATTGGCAGGCTTTTAAGATCTTGTCTGTGTTCAAAATCTGCATAATCAGAAATATTAATGTACTAGGGCAATCTGCATAGCATAACAAAGTGCAGATTCTGTGCCCAAAATCAAACCGATACTCCAGCAGTGCAGAATACATGACTCTCCAGGGCTGGTGGACTGCAACTTCCATCATCCTTCACCACTGGCTATGCTGGCTATGAGAGAAATTGCAATGCACCTACAGTTGGAGGGCCAGTCATTCCCAACCACATTCTCTTAAAGTTTGTGAACAGAATCTATGGCTAAAAATCTATTATGACGGTCAGTGAACAGACTGCAATAACTTTTCAAAAGTTTTTCATGTTTTCTACAAAAACACAGTGATTTCTAAATATGCATAATTTCTATGTTACTCGCAGATGCAATAAATATAGTACCACTGGAATGGGTAAATTGTAAAGCTGTATTTTTTCAGTGACTGTCTTTAAGAAGTATGTGTGTATGTATAACAAGTATAAATGCACTGCTCTTGTTCATGTTAAAATTAGTATGTTAAAGAGTATTCAGTGGTGCTGGAGCAGAAGTTGACCAGAGCTACTTTTTTAAAGGGCATTTAAGTGGCTGGGCAGGTATATCAATGCCAACAGAAGCTTCTCTCTCTAAACTGCAGGATGGTAATTAAAAGCAGCTTTCAGCCATTGCAACCTGCCAGGTCAGATACTGATTCTCCCTGCCCCTGCCAATCAAATATTTGAGTTCCAGTACTTCTGGCTAACAGGAAAAAATGTGTTGATATTATTTCATTTCTATACAGCCCCATAGCCAAAGCTCTCTGGGTAGTTTACAACAATCCATAAAAACAAAACAACAGCAGTATTTTTATGACACATGAAATCAATGCCATGCTATTTTTAACTTTGTTTACAAGTCAAGCATGCTGCAACAGATCTTACTCAAATGAGGAAATCAGACAAATACAATTTCAAGAACCTCCCTTGTTCACAAAAGGAAAAAGTCACTCTAACAGTTTGTCTATATGCAATACAGTTTGCTGCTATTGAAATAACCCCTGTTCTTCACAAATAAGAGGATGTCCAGATAAAGAGAAGCATTTTAAGTTTGCTGACATATCATGAAGGTATCATCCCTACACTCAAGACTGGACAACATGCAAAGCCAGCTTTGCATTTTATCGTAGATCCTACAAGTTAAAGCATAACATCTAGTTCACTGCTACACATATGATCAGGAGTGTGCTTGCAGACTCCCACAGATTATGTGCAATCCTCCTTTAGCCAGGAGAGTTGGCACACAAGCTCTCTCTCTCTCTCTCTTGCCTACATATCCCCAAATCAGCTCTAGAGTTAAGTGGCCTTCTGGAGCAGACTTCAGGTCCAAGGGAAAGAATAGAAACTCTACCTACATTAGACAGCTGCTGTGTAATACTGGATTTAGTTTGTGAAACAACTTAAAAATATCCCTGCTTTATGCTAGCTGAGAAGACAATCACCACCTGCAACTCCAGTATCCGTTTTTGTTTAGAATCAACTTACCAGCAAGCAATGGAGACCTCATTTCCATTACACCAACTGAAGGACCACTTAAGGAACGAGGCTGTGGTGTCACTGGAGTTGGTAAATCACCCATCAAAAACCCAGGCAGAAACTGAGCACCAGCACCTGGCTTTGGAGAGGTAGGGGAACCCAGTGCCATTGGCTCAGCACCTGCATTGGAAAACATTTCACATAAGAGTAGTTTAACAAGTCTGCCAAAGCGAAGTACTCTACTCAGTGTGTAATGAAGCTTCAGAAAACACTACCAAGATTTCCCAAAGCTATGAAAATATTTAATTATGCATGAATTAAGAAAAAGCAAGCAATACCTTTTGGAACAGATGAGTACAAATGAAGCTACCCCGTTTTACAGAAATACCCCCAACTGACTAATACAAGAACAACCACTCCTCCATGACTGAGGGGTTTGCCAAACCGAGTACTGTCCTTGTTCATATACAACACCGTATCAGAACTAGTTTATTTAATCCATGCCTTACTTTTCAAGACCACACAGACAATATGAGCATGATAGGGAAAGCATCTACAGTATAAACAAACTAAAACCAATACTTCCAATAAAACACGATTCCAAAGAAAGAAGAAAAACAAGCAAGCCGAAGCACTCAAAAATGGCAGTTGCAAGGAAGGCCGTCCACTGAGCAACCTGTTCGTGCGAGTAACCGAGTGGTGCGTAACGTCGACTCAGCGGCACAAAAGCAAGCAGAGCCCCCGATCGGAAGGCGAGCTAACGTCTGGACGCGTCTGAGGACGCCCTGCGTGCTCACGTGCCCTCCCACCCCAGCACTGGGCCAAGCATGCGGGCGCCGATGCTGCCAGAGACGTGCCCGGTCCTTACGGCTGCCTCCGACCGCCCGCCGATCCAGTGCCTTTGCTCTCCCGGAGCCGAGGGGCCCCGCGGAGTGCCCGCTGACGTCAGAGCCACGGCCCACCTGGAGGGCGCCACTTGCCCCGCCCAAGAAGGGCTCTAGGAGCGCCCTGCCGTGCCCCGCCCCGCCCCGCCCGTTCCAGAACTCCCTCGGAGCCGCGGGCGGGCTGGCTGGCCGCGAGCCCCGCCAGAAGAAGCGCCAACAGAACGCTGGGGAGAGCCGGGGCCGAGCCAAAGGAGGCGGGGAAGGGAAGCTGCGCGGGGCCGAGCGACGCTACCGGGCCGGAGGCTACTCACCCACGGAGGGGGAAGGCAACGGCAGCTCCATAGCGAAGGCGGCCATACGTGCTGCACGCACCGGGAAACCAATAACGAACACCACTGCTCGCTTCTGCTTGAATCAGTTACTTTCAAATAGAGCGGAAGCGCCTCTGCAGCCCGCGGTGTGAGGGGGGACGTCACGTCCGAGAGAGGGAGCGCCAGCCGCGACCATAGAGTTGAGGCACGCGCTCTCCCTTTTACTCTATGGTCTTTCTCCTGGATGTACTTCGAGATTGCTCTGTGATAGACGTAGAGCAATTCTAGACAGTGCTGGTTAATTAATATTTATTAAAGGCAGGGCAGTATAACCTTTGCGTGTTAAAAGCGCCAGTTGCTCATCGAAAGCAAAGGAGAAGTCAAGGACTTTTATGAAGCTACTTTTTTATTGATATCAGGGTCTCCAAGAAGGAAGAAAGTGTATTCATGCTCTTTCATACTCAGCTTTCACGTGTAATTTAGGTTGCTGTTGCTGCGTTTTTTTCAAGTCCTTTTGATAAGTTAAGCTGCAAAGACTTTCTGCAGGAGGACGGGAAAAGTTTAAACGTGTAACCCGGATGCAAACAGTCACGACAGAGATCCTTCCCAGTGGAGTCGTTCATTGGCAGTGCCCGTGCATTGTATAAAGGTTTGGAAATCAACACAATGGTGCAGTTAGGTAATCTTAGACCTTGACTGTGGAGGCAGCTTTTAGATGGTTACGTGTATTAGTTCAGCTGTGAGACACAGCGCTAGCACCGCTCTTCTTCCCACATGGTTTCACTTTCGGCCACTCTGCCTTTGGAGAGGCATTACTACCAGTGTATCAATGAGGCCTCCAACCTCACATGAATATTTAACTATGCAACAAAAGGAGCGTGGAGGTATGTGGAAGTCAGATCAATATCTCCTAGTAAATTGCTGCATGATTTACATAGATTGGCCAGGGTTTCTGACCCCAAGCTATTTAACAACAGCTACTGCAAAAACTTCACTTTTGTTCTAAATGAGCCACTGAAATTAAGAAAGCCTGGGGGCAAGGGAAGATGGCTGGATTTTTGACTGAATGTACCATCATCCTTATGTATGATTATGGAACATAGTGGGTAGTTGGATCTGTCACAACAGCCACCCTCTGTAATCTGGTGCTAACCTTATTTGAAGTCACTGTCACTGGCTCCTTACCATTCGAGTCAAAATAATAGAAAAAGATAGCATGAGCCTGTCCACCTGATGCAGCTGTCCAGATTACTATAACTGAAAAGACAGGTTTTTCTTTAAAAAAAACCTGGAAAATATTGAATTAAGCATGCCCTGAATAGTTGTGTCAAACACTTTGGCCACCTAATGAGAAGGAAGGACTCACTGGAGAAGAGCCTAATGCTGGGAACAATTGACAGCAAAAGGAGGGGATGGCAGAGGATGGGGTGGCTAGATGGGGTCATTGAAGCAGTCGGCGTGAGCTTAGGTGGACTCCCGGGGATGGTGGAGGACAGGAAGGCCTGGAGGAGTGTTGTCCATGGGGTCGTGATGGGTCGGACACAACTTTGCGACTAATATATATAACTGTGATGCTAGTACTACTAGTACTAACAACATGAGATCCCATATTTTCAACTTCTCTAACAGCAGTGAATTTGGATGGTTGAACACTTGTCATTTTTAAAAAATGGGATCACAAAAAAATGATTGGTTCCTATGTACTTGGGGTGACTCTCTAGGTATGCAATGATATAAAGGTTTGTAATTTCTTTTCTAACAGCCAAAAATACTGTGATGAGGATTTTTGAGATTTTAGGTCTTATAAAACAGTGGAGGCATAATGGATCAGACAAGGGTAGTTCATCTTATTGTGCCAAGGGGGAACTTAATGGTTACACCATGAACACAACCTGCAACAACAAATGCTCTTTGCTTCTCTGCTGCATGGGAGAAACATGTTGCTGCCCAGTCACAGCCACATTAAAGTTGTGGATTTCACCATTGTTTTCTCTGATCAGTTTTCACTTTTCCCCTGAGGATGGGGGTGACACACTGTAAATCTAAAAAAAAGAGACATTTTTCAGGATGTGTGAAAAGTTTTAGTCCATGCTTGAAAGTAATTGAAACATGCAATGTTAGGCTGGGGAAGGAGGGAAAATAGACTGCAAGGGGAAAGACAAATTGGCCTGTTCCAGGTGCCCGACAACAGTGTAAATCCTGGAGGAGTTGTGGAATGTATGCTATGAACTTAACAACAGCAACGCCTGCCTGTTGCATGTTTAAATGTTTCAGGGTAAAGGGAAGGGAAAATGACCTCTTGTCCCATTCCTGTCCATTGGTCCTGCTTTTATACCAATGGCATGCTTAGATTTGGGACTGGCAGCCTGCCCAAAGGTGACCTAAATTAATTAAAACTACTATCTACATTTTTCCAGGTAAGATGGATATAGATTCAATGTGATTTCAAGATCACATTTGGCTAATGAACCTATCTATTACTACCTTTCAGTATCTACCTGCCCTTTTGAATGGAAAAGTTGAAATGTCTTCTTTGTGATCCATTTCATAAGCCCAGCAGGCCATTGTAAGGCCTTGCAAGAACCTGAACTGGGGCTTTCAGCTGTCATGTTCTAGTACCTACTACCAGTGTCCTGAACTCACTGGACATCTGGCTGTCCAAGATTAAACAATGCCAGCTATGTTTCGCTACCAACCTGAGCACTGGCAGCTGACCCAAGAGTGAATCCTGTCTTGGATTGGCTGGGAGTGACATCCAGTTTCACCACGAGTCCTGGACTGTAGTAGGTGGGCACAGCCTTCCCCAACATGGTGAGCTACAGCTGCATTTCCCAGATGCAGACCAGCACATCTAGATAACACCAGGATGGCAGGCTTAGAGCTCAGTTCCACTGAGGCCTAATCCATACAGTCTGGTAAAAATGAACTTTTGCAAAGGAGTATTCCTGAAGTGAATGAAGGCCTTCTACAGCTAAGGGTGCAATTCTAGGCATGTTTTCACAGAAAAAAAGTTTCATAGTTCCCATCATACCCCAGCTAATATGACTCACTGAAAGGATACTGGGTATTATGGGTCTTTTTCTGTCTAAAGTTGCACTGGATTGCTTCCTAATTTGTTTTATAAACAGTGCAATGAACAGAGTAATTCTGACCATGATGCCCTAGATCAGTCTTCCCCAACCAGGGCCCCTCTAAATGGTTTGGATTCCTACTTACATCATTCTTGACAATTGACTATGCTGATGGGCGTGGAAATTCAAAGCATCTGGAAGGCATAGTTTGGAGACAGCTGCCCCAAACTTCTTATTGATAGAATGCAGTTACAATTGAGGAAACAAGTACCAAACTGATCATATTTAGCAAAGCTGATACAGTTAATTCACTATTGTTAGACTTGTTATTTTGAACATTAAAAAAAGCCAGAAAAAATTAATCTGAGTTGCAGGTGATTTAAAATTATACAGTGCAAAGTGAGCAGAAGTTTATGATGACTGTTTAACAGCTGTAATTCTACATCAGTGTCCAAAAAACATTCACAGCTTTGTTCATTAAAATGCAACCTCAAATTCTTCCCCTTTTGTCAGTCTGTATCATTTAAGTTCCCACTTTTTAAATATTGCACTGATGGTATTTGTGGAGTTGCTCCATGAAGCCAGAATTTGGACAAATCGCAGGTCTTGCGTTTTTCACCAAAGAGAAAGCGCTGGCAAAACTGAGTCCTTCTGAATACATTAGGAAGCCTATGACGATCGCTGCTGCACGAGAGACTCCTGCATTACAGTGAACAAGCACCACACCATCCTCCTCAAGGAGAGAGAGAGAGAGCACACCTTTAGAAAACCATTCCAATCATAAAGGATTTAATACCATTTTCTCATCTTGTAGAGGCATCCAAGCAACTTTCTGGACAAGGTTTTCTGGAATAATTTCATCATGCATGGATATTATATTAATTCTTCCTCAGTTTTATATATTGCTCTTGAGTCTGAATTCTTGTTACTTCCATGCACCCTCTCCTCCTCAAGGAGCCTCTGGTTGAGTATTTTAATCAATGCTGTCTATTTTGTCAGTACTGATTACCTGTTGGAAAATAATGGCAAGGGCAGGCCTGGAATCAATCCTCCACCTACTAGCAGAATAATGCCTTTTACTTTGTTGTCTTTTTAACTAGTTGTTTTAAATTTGTAGCAGTTTGGATCATTAAAGTTTTACTGAATTAAAATATTTTAATTATGTAAGTATCAAAGAATTTTTTCCTATTTTGCCATCTACATTAAGTTGTACATTTATCAGCCACAAATTAGAGCGTACTGATCCTGAAGTGAATCCCTTTTATCAGCCTTCCCAGAATTCCTATCCAGCAGGGCCATTGACTGGGAATTATGAGTGCTGCAGTCCAAACTTGTCTGGAAAGCCCAAAGTTGGGGAAGGCCATAATTTGAGTCTGTATTTATAATTTGCAATATTAAAATACACTAGGTTGGCCCAGATTTTGTCTTAGAGTAATCCCATTGATTTAATGAGTCTACTCTGACTAAATTGAAATCAAGCCCATTAACTTCATTAGGTGGATTTTCAATGTGGAAAGTTATTTCAGTTTTCCAAATACAGAAATATTTTTTCAAGAAAATTTGCTTGGCAGAAAGCAACTCATTGTGAGTTATCTGCAAAACAAAATTAGGTATTGCTACAAACTGATCTGCATCTCAGTATTACTGTACTTAGAAATGCATCCTACTGATTTTAAGGGGGCTAAATATGTAATATGTTATGCATGTTTCCACTGCAATCCCTCCCACTCACTCCATGGTGGGATTCAATGCAATTGGAGTGGGGCAGAATCAGTGACACACTACTCCATTTATAAGGAAATATTTTCTCTGTGTGTAGAAAGCTCTTTAGGTCCCAGTTAGTAATTGCTTGTTAATGCATTAAAACTGCTTGGTAGAAATACACAAAAAAGATGGGTGGGAGGCTTAAACCTCGCCTCCAATTCAGTGAACCTACACAAAATCTCTGGGGTCAGGTCTGGAGATAGTTTCAGTGCCAGAAGGACGTAGTTGCTTTGATTTTGCCAGTAATTTCAGGAATGATGGGGTAAGACTCCTTTCTCTACCAATCCAGGTGGGCACAATGATCCATCATAGTTCAAATTAACCCATTTATCCTTGTTGGAAATGATACAAACTGCAGTTAGTTCAAGCCCAGAAGTGGGTGCATCTGCTCTCCTCCACTGTAGTATGCTAAAAGAAGATGAAGGAGCACTCAGACCTGAGACTTGAGCAGGCTTGTCCACATGCTAGTAAACAATGATTTAGGATTATGCCTGAGCCAGACAACTGTCTCCAAATGCTGAGCATCAATCTAACACTTTGTTTCCTTTCATCATAACTGCAACATGCAGTTTCTTTTCTTCTCTCAATCTGTTTAATTGCGGTCAATGTGTCACCTTGGATAAATCTGAAGAAGGATCATACTGCACACCTTCCTTTTGGAGAAATACATTTCAGGTTTGGGCAAAAGCCTGTCCCATGGTGCATGAAATCAAAAAAGTGTCTCCAATGATAGGGTTTTTTGCCTTTCTAAGGCAATTCATAATTGCATGCTTTGGTAGGTAATTTTCATGAGAGGTGCATAAATTATCTATTTTTCCAACCAAATCATTGTGCACTACAAGGCATTAGAAGTGTCAGAAAAAATATAAAGCACTCTTAGTAGAACTACTAGTGGAAAAAATAAACTTCTGCAGGGAAACAGGGGCACTAGGCTACTTAGCACAGCAAATCTAATTTAGAAATGAAGCGGAAACTGTAACTGGAAACCTCCAGGAGGGCATGAAAGTAATACACGTTTCAGGTAACTTGTAAACAATACACTGTGTTCTAAAATTGCACAAAGCTTCTTGGGGCAATATCCTCCTTCATTCCAAACCAGCTAAACAATGAAAATTATTCCAATCTCATGGAATAATCTGAAACCAGGTATGAAAAGTTAAGATATTGTCAGTTGATAGCATCGGATGGTCAGATAATATGAAAGGAATCAAGCTTTAATTCCCTTGCACAAGAAAATATTCTATGTGCAGGAGTCCTTTAGCTTTATGATGATGTAAACATACTTTTATGCTTTAATGAGCAAAATAGAGAAATTTGTGACTTGCATGAAGGTTATGTCTTAGTCTTTCCCATGCAACTCAGTGCTGCTGAGTCAGGAGCTTGTGTGTACCTAAGCATGTGCTGGTTCGTAGCATGCCATTTTTGTTTGCTTGTTCTGTTTGAGCACTACAGGTAGAGTCTAATGTTAACTTAAAGGATACCAGGTAAGAAATGTGTCTCAGGCTGCACTCCTGTGTCCACTTCACTGGATGCTGACTTCATGTAAATCAATCAAATCATGTAAATCAACTGCCCAAAGAGCCTTGGGGCAATTGGATGGGATAAAAAAAATACTAAATAAGAGGCAGTATCTCATGTTCCCTGTGTCCTAGCAAGACAAATGCCTAGTGCACCAGGAACCAGTGGACCCTGAAGCAGACAAATGCTTATTTCTGACACGGAACAGCTCAGAAGAGCTTGCAGGAGGGAGCTCCACTGCCCTGCCCTGTTCCTGAAATGAGCATTTTCATTTGTTTTCAGGTAGCCTTAGTGATTGCTATTGGTCATGTTGCAGTAGCAATAACCTGCCAATGCAACAGAAAGAGCAGAAGCACAGCAGGGTTATCATATACTACCCAGTGGATCTTACTTCTGCATACTATGGGACTGAGCTGGGCTCTTTTTTTTTAAGTTGTTCATTAACAACTTGAATGCTCAAATCAAAGGCTCCAATTTAAGAAAGTGTCTACATGTTCTCTTGGAGCTGCTTATATGCTTGGCTACCCTAAAGTGAAGACAAAATGTTTAAACTTCTGAAACAGAGTAGAGGAGGAAAACTCAGTAATTACTACAGGTGAAGCATGCCGTTTTATACTCAGATTTTTCCACTATTTAAAAGTAGGAGCTCAAATTATTTTAACTAATCTCAGAACAGAATCGAAAATGCATGTTAGCCTGATGCTTACCTTCCTTTTTCCCTTATTTTTTCCCTACTGTCATGGCACACCCACAGCCACAAATCACATATTGCAACAATGTACCTTTAATTTGACTTGGTCAATAAATTCAAAGCATTCAGGGAAATAGGAGACGATGTCAGTCGCAGGAAGATCGAGGATAGGGATGCTCTTATATATAAAGTCATGGGGGAAAGGATTTTCAACTCCATAGGCTACATTTAGAACATGGGTAACCTGGAATACAAAAGACATGTTGTGAAGTGAGCAAGCCAGCTTTGTGATCATGGTATTCTGGCATGGTTGAAGACCTCAAGCTAACAGCTTACGAATTTATCACAAAGGCTAACTTTCTTGCAGTTCATGACATGAACCCAAATACAGGACTGAGATGACTTTTTTTTTCTATTGGCTGCTATTAATATTGGTTCTAAGTGTAGTGGTTGTTGACGTTGCTTTATGTATTTTTTTTACTTAATTACATGAGATGAAGAATCATGTAAAGGCAGCTCAGTTGAACTCTTCCTCTAATACTAGGGTTAGATCCAAACTTAACTAATTTCAATCCCACTGGAGACAAAGATTGGAGCTAATCATTACACATTTATTTAATTCTTTTATTTTTATGCTGCCAAATAGCCAAGGCGCTCTGGGCTGTTAAACATATTACATGAATGTCACAGGTACAGTCTTAAGCATGTTTACTTGGAAACAAGTCCCACTGAGTTCAACAGGTCTGACTCCTTACTAAGTGGGCAATCTCATGATTGCAGCTTACATCTCACAGGTTTCAACAGAAAGTGGTGTGTGTGTAAGATCCATTTCTATTATATACCAGCTTACATGGTAATTAGATAGTAATTGATTTGCTATTCCCAGAAATGCTAAGCAAACTAGTTTTGAGGGATAACAAAACTGAATACATTTTGAAAAGTGCAGTCTAGTTTAACATGAGGCAAATGCATGCGTGTGTGTTGACACAGCTCATTACCCTATATTTTTTCATGGTCTCCAGGTCATGAGCAGCATCCTGGGAGCCTGTGAGGGGAAAACACATCCTGTAAGTCCTGGAAAAGGAAGAGCTGATAGAAGATGAGAGAACCCAGCTTCTTCAAATGAAGCCAGGAGGTTATTTTAACCTGAAATAACACCGTGGGCACTAAATAGGCGATAAATTGTAAAGGCAGAACTATCTTACAGCACAGTCCTATGCCTGTTTAGACAGAAAAGTCGTGCAAGTCCCAGCTTTACAAGACAAAAGTAGAGAGCCAAGAAAAACCACCTCGTGCCTTGCTTCCTAAAAAAGAACGGGCAAGTTCTCTATCACCCTAGAAAGGCTTTCTTTACCCCCCCCCCCCCATCCACACGCATGCATTCCTTAACCGTGCCGCTGGCTTTGGCTCCACCTACATACCCAGCAATAGCCAGGGCTTAACGACCCCAACTTGCAGATCCAAGCTCAGGTCCTGCACGTAACCGCAGGCATCCTTGTCGTTGCCGTCAGCTACTTCCACGACTTGCATCATCCGAGCATCCTTCCACGTCTCTATAATCCTCTTCCCCGTTAAAGTCGTGACTCGCGTGCATTGCTTCCTCAGATTAGCCCTGGAGAAGGATTTAATTTCCTGGGTGAGCGAGTGCATTACATGAGCAGAGGCGCCTTCAGACTAAAAACAAAATAAACAAGGAGCGGGCGGGGGAGAAGGATTATCTGCCCGGGGCTCTGTTCTTTCTGCGGACAGCTCTTGCCCCGTTTTTGACACAGCCCCGAATGCACGCAGGGCCACCGCTCCGGGCAGAGTCTGCGGGCGGCAGGCAGCCAGCCGGGCAAGGAAACGAGAACCGCTTCCTTTTTCCCAGGGCGCTCTGTAAGGCAGTCTCGGATTGGCCACAGATACGTGTTTCTGGATTGGTTGGGAGTTCTTTTGTGTCGAGCCGCACGGACTCTCACGCGGAGGTGAAATGAGACCCGCGCGCATGTCGTGATCCGCTTGCGCTTTTCCGGCGTTCCAGATCCTTTTGTGGTGAACAATCGGGATACAAAGCTGAACACCCCCTAAGAGGAAAAACAGTAAAATAATCTGCTGAAAGCAAAGACAAAGGGGAGGGCCATGCATACACCAGCTGATGGTATCTACAGTGCCTGCAGAACAGAATCTCCATCGGATGTGTAGAAAGGTTAGATGGCTAGGTTACGGATATTTACCAGGTAAGAATAACACCCCGTTTAAGCCAAGGACAGGCACAAAGGAATGCTGCAGCGCTGGAGAGAGGCAGGAAAGCAGGGCATTTCCGATCCTAAAAGAAAGGTTTGCATATGTACTGGTAATTGCACCAGTGGTTCTTGTTGCCTGATCTTTACTTCCTTGGACCGCTCCCATTATATAATGGGTTAGCGTGGGACGCTGCTCGCTCCCTCCTCGCCTCTGCACACGCACAGCTTGTTTCTTCAAGGTTCGAAGGAGGTTTTGCTGCATTAGAATGGCATTCATTGTTAAGTGTCAGTAATCCATAACATAGTTATCTTGAAGTTATACATGAATCAGGCCAAATTAAGAGGTATATTAAAGAAGGGGGGGGGGAGTTAAGGAAAACAGAAGGATTTCAAGGAGTTTACACATGACATTGTGTTCTAAATAAACAAGCCACATTAGGAATGAGATGAAGCAAAATAGTTAATGGAAGTTACTAAGAATGCACATGTTGTTTTCCACAAGTAATTTAACAAAAACTAATGCCATTTGTGCCTCTCTTGCATTGTTTATGCCATGTGTAAATACTGTTTGCATGGAACAGAAGCTAAAGAGAGATGTTAAATTTAAGGTACACTATGAGCAACATATATTTTACATTTTCATGACAAATCAATTTAAGGGAAGACTGATTTCAGCTTCATGACTTAAAATGTTTTAAGACTGATTTTCAAAAAGGGGCCACCATGTGCCACATGTTGCATAAGCTATGCCAGACTAATCTTACCTTATTTTTTTCTTGTTTTCTTTTTAATAGAATTGCCAGTTTAGTAGATCATGGGGATATTGTAAATGTAATATCTTTTCCAGCAGAGCATCAAAATGATAACTTCCACCAGGATATTTTTGTTGAACAGTCAAATGTGTGCTTGATAATGATGCTCTGAAGTGGTTAATGGAAGGAGTCATTGGTTCCTTGTCAGCCTGGAAAGAAGTGACATGGGATCCTGCAAGGTTCCTGTATTTATCAGTATGGATGAATGAACAGAGCATCAGATACTTGGATGACACCAAACTGGATGAGGTTGCTAATACCTTAGAAGCAGGATTCAAAGATGACCTTGAAAAGATTGCAAACTGACCCAAAACCAATAAAAATGAATTTCAACAGAGATAAATTTTAAGTTATGTGTTTTAGTAGGAGGAATTGGTGGCACAAATACAGGATGGGTGACACCTAGTTTGACAATGTACATGTGAAAAGGAGCTAGGGCAGAGATGGCGAACGTTTTAGAGACCAAGTGGCCAAACTGCAACCCAAATCCCACTTATTTATCGCAGAGTGCCAACAATACAGTAAAACTTAAAAACTGCGGTTTTAGTTTAGGAAGAAACAACTCACAGCCAGTCCAAGCAAATATATCCTTGGCAGTGGACTGACCGGCCATGCAAAAGCTCGGATGAGTTGCAGCTAATGAGTCACGGCTTGTGACATCATTATCTGGTGCCGCTACTCTTTCCAAGTACATGCATGGCCCCTATGTGCACTGTTACCTGATGCTTGGCTGCTGGGGCGATGCTGGCGTGACTTGGCTCACATGCCGACAGAAAGGGTTCTGTGCGCCTGCTGTGGCAAGCATGCCATGGGTTCACCACCACTGCCCCAACCCTACACTGGTGCACTCCCCTAGCCCTAATATAGGGGTAAAATACTATTGAAAGGGGTGATTTTGAAAAAGCCTTCCTTGAGTAGCTTTTTCTGCACTGCTCATCATTTCTGCCCGTTCTAAACACATTCCAACCATCAAAGTCATGCCAGGACACCTTGTTTTTCTAAACCTAACCCTAACCTGGTGCACACCCCTAACCCTAATACAGGGCAAAAGTTCCATAGAAAAGAGGGCGATTTTGAAAAAGCCTTCCTTGAGTAGCTTTTTCTGTCCAGCTCATCATTTCTGCCCATTCTAAACACAATAAGACCTGAAAACTGAGGTTTTAGTTCAGAAAAAACAACTCACAGCCAGTCCAAGCAAGTGTGTGTGTGTGTGTATCTCCTTGGCAGCACAGACCGGCCATGCGTTAGCTCGGACCAATGGCGGCTAATGAGTCGCGGCTCGTGATGTCATCACCTGGCGCTGCTACTCCTTTCTGAGCATGGGCATGGCCCTTATGTGTGCTGTTGTCCAATGCTCAGCTGCTGGGGCAGCTTGGCTCGCATGCCGACAGAGAGGGCTCTGCTCACTGTGGCACACATGCCGTAGGTTCATCACCACTGACCTAGGGGGTTTCGTAGACCACAAATTAGACATGTCAGCCATGCACTAGGGCAGCTAAAAAGGTTAACGTAATTCTAGATTACATCAACAGATCATGTCCAGATCACAAAAAAATAATGGTGCTGATCTATTTTACGGTGGTCAGACCTCTTCTAGAGTACTGTGTCCAATTTTGAGCCCCACAGTTTAAGAAGAATAGCAGGAAACTGGAATGTGTCCAATGGAGAGTAACTAAGACAACCAGGACACGGAGTTCAAGAGCTATGAGGAAGAATGAAGAATTTTGGTATGTTTGGACAGTACAAGAAACAATTAAGAAGCAATATGATTTCTCCACAAAGATGATGGAGAAATATTGTTTTCCTTCATCCAGGGGGTAGAACCCAGTGAATGGATTCAAGTTAAAGAATATTGAAAAAACCATGGAAATAAGTTTTTGATACTGTATTTTGGTATAAGCTGTTTGGTAGCAGAACAGACTTATACAGGAGGTGGTGGATTCTCCTTTGTTACAAGTTTTTGTGAAGAGGCAGGATGGTCATGTGTTTAACAGTGGGTCTCCTGTGTTGGCAAGAGGTTGGACTCAGTGAGCTTTGAGGTCCCTTTCAACTCGATGGTACTATCACCTTGCTGCCTTCCCTTTCATTGCAGATTAGGATTATGAATTCTAGTTTTATAGAGACACTGTAAAACCTAAGGAAAATCCTTTTTCAATCTCATTCCTTAGAGGCTGAGTCAAAGATAAGAATAATTATATAAGGCAAATATCTGGTTCTTATTTGATCTTTTATTATGCAGCATTCTAAATATAATTATGCACATACAGCATTTCTAAAGGCATTTTTAGAAATCCACAGAGAGTACATTCACTTTCTTTCTGTACGCATAATATTTTTGTATAAAGTATCAACGATTGCACAAATAAGTTTTAACAACCACAATACGCATGCAGTAAGAGATCAGTGAGGTCTGGTTTTTGTACTGAATGAGTTGAGAAGATAGATGCAGATATCTGATTCATCATTTCAGTTCATTTTCTGTAGTCACCAAGGACTTCATCACCCAAATCTTTCACTCATCTTTTATCCCCAAGTATTTATGTATGGCATTTTGCCCACTCTTTTCCCCTCTGAAGTACAGGAGTACAATGTGGTCAGTGTCAGCTCCAAGTTTTTATGGCCTGAGGAGAAGATACGCTTAATGGCACCCTTCCCTGGTACCCTTCCCTGGTACATTCTCACCGCCATGGTCCCCTGCTCCTCTTGCTCCTCATCCTCTTCCTCACCATCGGCACCGCTTGCTTGCTGGACAAGCAGAGAGCAAGCAGGCAGGAAGGGGCGTCTCCTGCGCCTCCTTCTCAACACCACCCTTGCCTGGACCAAATGGAGAGGCAGGAGCGAGGGTGACGAGGAGGCACGGCTCCAGGGGGCTTTCGTCCTGGGTTAGCATAGCCATCCGATGAAGTGCAGCAGGGATTCCACAGACTCTACAACTTCAAATAAATAACTGCTGGACTTCCATGAAGGCTTGACCTATAGCATCGAAGCCGATGCAAGAGTTATTTCCATGGCTTGCTCTGCCAGATTTTTGTAAGACACCCAGGCCAAAAACCTTTGTGAAAATGAGGGGACTGATTTCACCTTGCTGCTGCCAAGCAAGACGTGTGTCCTCCTGGCACACCCGTTGGGTTCAGTAAGAGCCTTATTGTGGCATGCAGGCAAATGAAGGCGCAAAACCGACAAAGAGTTCTTCAACCCATGCCAGATTATTTTAGCAATGCATTCTGTCCCAGAGGACCTAAGCTGATTGCTCCCATGGAATGGGAGCTTTCTCATATTTCCACTGCTGAACTGCCTTTCATTTGGAAAAACGCCCTGTTGGGTTCAGTGGGAGATTACAGTCCCGGCCCTAACAAGTCATTTAGCCCTAAGGGGTCTTAGACAGATTTCTAAAACCTTGACCTGCCAATCTGTTAGTGCACAGGTAAAATGCAAGAGTAAAATTAAATGAACAGGACACATGTCACTACTGTGAATTTAATGCCAATTGAGTTGAGAAAGCCCTTAAGCAGGTTCTTCAATTCAAGCACATCCCTAGTTCTAACTTACTGTGATAAAGATGATTCCATAAAGGAAGCAGGGCTGTCCAGGGCCAGGCAGTTTGGAGGGACCTCATTCTTAGGGTCACCATAAGTTGGCGATGACCTGATGGCACATAAGCAATCAAGAAGCAATCAAGAAGAGTATGCACATGATTAATGGATGGTGCTGGGCGCTGCTACCTTATCACCTTATGAACTCGGGGCTTTCTGGGCATGCTACGAAGGGTGGAAGCAGTGCTGAGGTGAACATTCAACCATGTTTCTCCTACTTGCAAAACACTTAGATGGTCAAGTTTAAAGAGAGGAGGCTGAGGTGCCGCTAGGTTATTACAGATGGTCAAAGAGCCCGTCTCCTCCCTTCCCTGTTCTACAAATGTCCAAAATGCTACGAATTCCCTGTCCTACAAATGTCCACAAAATCCGAGGGCACACTTGCAACCCGGAGCCAAGGCTGAACCAACTTCAAGGGCAAAAGAGAAGGTTCTCCAAATTTGGAGTCACAAGTCTGGTCTCAGAGAGAGAGCTGGCACTCTGAAATCTTCTGTGGCCATCTCAACAGCGTCGCACAGTCACAAAATTGCAGATTCATGAAAGAAACGTTTAGCAACTACTATTCCAGAGGAATATCAAGTCCAAAGTGAGAACAACTTAGTCATGTAAGGTGCGGGGGGAATCTCTTTTGCATGATTTTTTTTCCCAGGCTGATATTTTACAAGATGCTATATTTGCTTAATTAAAAAGCAAATTATTATAAATACCATCTGCTATCTCACCTGCAGGCCCTTTTTAACTAACTGACAGACTTGCATTTTCAATTCTACGTGAAAAGCAAACTATTAAAAAAACCCTCATATGTAGGTTTTTCTAAAAGTGTTAAATCTGAGACAAAGACAATTTTACACTGTAACAACAAATAACCGTAATTAAATCCACCCTTCATGTACCTGGGGACATTGTCAAGTGACTCATTATTTTATACTTGCATAACTATAAAATATATATTTCTTTGGGTTTTCAGTAGCTGCTCTATAGTAATGGAAAATCAGTTGATTTTGAAGATTCGGGAACAAATCGACTAGCATATTTTTGCGTGTATAAGACGATCCTATTTCTTTAAAATACTTACATAAAAATGGAGGGGCGTCTTATACACAGGGGGGTCAAGAGGAGAACTGTGGGCGTGCTGGGAGGGGGAGACAGGTGTGATCACGGGTGCACTTGGCGGGAGGCAGGTGCAATCGCAGGCACACTCGGGGAGGCGGGTGCAATCTGGGAGAGACCGGTGCAGGGAGGCGGGGAGGCAGCAGGTGCACACAC